AGCCTTGTGTTTCTTCTTATTAAGTACCGTCTAAAGCCTGATGAGTGTGCAGGCAGCCGAGCGGCTTCATCCACCCTCCACCCTCGGCTGTGATTTTACCCGAAGCTGAATGTCACGCATCATAAAGCAGACCTGGATGAAGGAGTAGTAGGGGGTCTGTGTGAAAGTGTGTGTATGACATGGCTGTATGCACCTTAAAGTAGTGAATATTTTTACAAGATTTTAACGCGCCACATATTGTGTGTTACACGCAGAAGCCAGCGGACGTGCACAGATATTTAATTGTTAAAGCCTGCATGGATGATTCTACATTGTACTGTAATTTATAATTGCAATTGTATAAACATTTTTGCTACATTAGTCTCAACTAATCAGATTCCCGTTCTCACATTATGACTGTATTACCTTCACTTATGGTTAGGCCTGTAATGGTAACAAATTTTGCTGGAAATTCTTGGTGTTTTGAGACAATTTTTGAGTATAATAATAATAATAATAATAATAATAATAATAGCATAATGATGCAAGTTTACCCTTTGAAAAATCAAAAAACTTTAATTTTGTAAAAAAAAAAAAGACACTCATCAATGGAAGTAGAAGATACTATATTTTAAATATCCAAAATAAATAAATGACCAAAAACATGAATTAAAACGGAGATAAAAATCACACAACCAAAAACATAAATGAATTGTGTTATGGAGTCTCAAAGTCAAAATTGCCCTTCAAAATAATGTTCATCATCAGAATAGATGATTTACTTTTGGTGACCTGGTTTGTGAAGATCTTTCAATATTTTAACAAACTTATCACTTTTATGTCAAACTCGGATTTCTTGATTCGATTAGTTTTCATATCTACAGATTTTCCCAACTGACCTGTGGATGGATCTCTGCAGCTCCCCCAGAGTCACCAAGGTTTTCTCCCTAGCTTTTTTTCCCCATTAATGTTTTAATGTGTCCTCTGTTCTTCATGATTGTTTGCTCACTACATTTCTCCACTGAACCCTTAAGGCTGGATTTATTCTGAGAATAAATTACGCACAAGTGAATTTATTAATTAGGTGACTTCTGACGGTAATTTAACTTGATGTTAGAGTAAAGGAGGCTAGATAAAAATACACGCCACACTATTCAGATTTTTACACATCGCTCGCGATCCACAATAACGCGGCACTTTGTAATCCGTAGACGTTTGTGAATGCAACGTGAAAAGACAAATGGGCAGACATTTAGAAGAGATGAGTACTTTCTCAAGGCCCTGCATCTGTAAATCAACTTTTTCCATAATATCTCAGAACCGAGCGGGGGTATGTCGCTACCGCCATGTGTTATTTCATTCTCTACAAATGCCACCTCAAGCTCTAATCAGGTCAGCCAAGTTTCTCAGCCAGTCGGTCCTGTCCCTTTTCCGAGTTTTCCTCTGTCCTTGGATGTTTCCTGTGTATAAACAGGCTGCGCAGCAGAACTGTTCCTAACAATACACAGCCAGAGTGGACTTTTCGCTTGAAAATTTATAGGAAAAACAGTCACGTTTCGGATCCAGGACCAGCCTGTGGCTTGGTGCGTGGATGTTTTCCTGCAGTAAAGCTGTTAAATCCATGTACTCTCTGCTGCCGAGGATGCCGAAAGGGTCACTCGGTCCGCAGGGAGGCAGGACCAACAGTTGACCCAAGGTTTTATTGCCGATGAACATTTAGCCACGCATGCAGGAACATGACTGACAGCACGGACCCACACATCTACAGTAAACTCCCCGTTTCCACATCAGCCGACAGCCAGTGAACGGCCCTTCCTATCGGAAAGGAAGGAACCATAAACTGGGGAAACACCTGACTGTATCCGACGCTTACAGCCGGCCCTTTGACCCCACCGCAGCACTCCCTGCCTCACGCTGTCTCACCTTCGGCTTCCTGCCTCCTATAGAGTGGACTCAACCACACAAAGGACACCCAGATTTTGCTGAAGTTTAAAGGATGTTTTCACACCTGATAGTCCAGTAGACTCGTTTCGATTGGGGATAAAAATGACAACTTTTGTTACATTTCGCTTTCACACTGCACTGTTTCAAATAACCCAAACTTGTTAATAAAAAAACCTGTTCCTCCCCTCTCCTGTGGTGGCGCTGCACCAAGAGCCACTGAAGGAAACGATGCAAAAACCTTTGAAGAAGACATTGAGCGCAACAAAGCATAAAGTAAAATGGAGCAGCGTCAGATTTTAGTTGTGTGTAGGATTTTTTTTTTTTGTCTTTGGTAAAAAGTCGAAAGCTAGACAGTTAGACACAGGCGTTTGTTTTGGTTGCGTTTACCCAGAATGCCCTGCGCTATCGTCCGCTCCCTGCCGTCGGAGCAGTCTCTATGCGTTTGAGCCGCGCCAGAGTTCACTTCAACCGAACCAGAATTTTCTTTTTCGGTTTGCGTCAGAGTTTGATTGCGCATTTATGGCTCCCTTAATGAACTGGACTTTCTAGCTAGAGTTTGATTTAAAGCGAACTAAACGGGGCTGGTATGAATGCACCGTAAAAAAAAAAAGGGAAAGGAAGGAAAAACCTCATCTGGATGACACCGTACGAGCAACATGCAGGGTCTTTATTCATCTCAGATGAACGATCATAAATCCAACTTCATAAGACGAGCTAAAACTCTTGGGTCTGGGCAGAACTGTGAGAAGTGACATCTAACTGATGATGAAATCTGAACGCAACCAGCTCTGGTGAATCAGTGAGTGGCTGAGTAGCCTTGTCCATTGACATCAAACACATAAACTTTGGTTCATGTAGACGTGTGAGTGTGTGTGTTACTGTTTGTTTTCCAAATGCCACTGCTCATGAATGATGGACACTGAGATGTAAAGAACCAAAATCAATGACCCTTCCATAACTGAAGCGTGTTTGTTTACACTGTCTGCCTGTGCGTGTGAACTTATGTGTATGCGTGTGCGTGTGTGTGTGTGTGCGCTTCTCCTTGCAACTCCAGCTGAACAAACAAGGCTGGCAAGTTGGTGAGCTGAGTGACTGGGTGGCTGTGACTGAGTGACAAATCTCAGACTGGCCTCTGAGTCATGCCTCTTCTGACAGACACACTCAGGGGAAAACTTTGGAGGATAAAAAGAAAAGAAAAAAAGAAAAAAAAAGACCACCTCCTTACATGGAGAGCTTATATATTTTGTTCTAATTTACAAAAAAAGAAAAAAAAAATCAAACTTTTCTTGCACACAATTCTTTTCTTACACAAGATGACCCGTACTCTTGCATTCAAGTGTTGTCAAATCTAATAAGAATGATAAAACGTGTTATTGGAACATTTAATCAGCTGTATTCAATGTCATGAAACTGATAGCAATAGAAGATTTTTTATTTTTTTTATATATATATATATATATATATATATATATATATATATATATATATATATATATATATAATAAACAGTTTCAATAAGGTTGCACTGTTGCATATTTAGTAGCATGAAGGACTTGGGTTCAAATCCTGGCCTATAGACTTTCTGCATGGAAGTTACATGTTCTCTCTGTGCATGCATGGCTTCTCTCTGGGTACTCCCGTTTTCTCAGAAACATGACTGTTAGGTTAATTGGTTTTCTTAAACAGGTGAGCTTCTGTATTGCCCTATGATGGAGTATCTATGGTCTACGGTCTACCTTGCAACTCGAACAGCGACTGCTTTCAAACAGTCTCCATTTGACAAAGTCAAGTGGGTATAGGCTATGGATGCTCGAGTAGCTGGACCATTTTACAAATAATAGCATAATTATCATTATTTTACTAAAGTACGAACTGAACGTGGACATAAATGTTTTCGGTTTTCTGCTCCATCTTCTTGGAACCAGTTGCAGAAATACAGGAGTCTAAAAGGACTTCTGTCTCTAAATGCTTTTAAGGCTCTTCTTACTGATTTTGAGAAGGGATTGTCTATTTGTAAATGTTTTAACTGATGAATCTTTTAATTTACTTTGCAATGTTGTTTTTATGTATTTTTGTGTGTGTGAATCTTCTGTGTGCTGCTGCTAGTCTTGTCCAGGATTCCCTTGCAAAGACGATCTTTAATCTCAATGAGATTTTCTGAAATAAAGGTTAAATAAAAACTATAATTAAGTAACTAAGTAGCTAAATAACCAGTTGTAATTAATGTAATATAATAAGCCAAACCCTTTAGGATGAAATTGAAGTTAAATAATAAACTGCAACATCTCTATCCTGGATGAGAATAAGAGCCCTAACCATCATCACAGAAGGCCTCTTTTTTTTTGTTGTTGCTCACTTTCCTCCCTTTAGAGCTTCATGATGAAATCATAAACCCAGCAATCAAATCAACAGGAAAGAAGACAGAAAAGCCAGAGAGGCAGCCCTTGAAACCTTCATTGGAAAGTCTGTGTCACTATCTTGACTTCAGCTCGGCTCCCGCTGCCAGCAATGACCTCTTCAACTCCAAAAACCGAAAAAAAGAAAAAAGAAAAAAAAACCTGTACCTGCCCCGCGCGCCGCCTGCAGAATGGAACAGAGACGGTTAACGACAAACTGCATGGCAGGAGAGTCCATAGACGCAGTTGTCACCATCTCGCCGCTTGCGCGTTTTGCCAAATATCGGCCGACACCGGAAAATTCAATTAGGCACGCATTCAAATGCCTCATCCAGCGGACGAATGTGAAGCACGTACGGCGCAGAAACGCACGTAATGAGCACTGATGCCTGAGCTCTGGTCCACGCCCACACAGGCTCCTCCACCCAGAGCATTACACGAGTCCAGTTGTGTTTTTCTTCTGCTCTCAGGCCGGGAGTGTAATGTTTGTTTTCACTCCACTTAATTGTGTTTTACGTCATCATTCGCCGAGGGAGGAGTTTTTGCTGTTTTGCTGTCTTCGTGCACTGATATGTTGAGGAAAGGAGGAAAGAAGAGATGATAAAAACATGTTTTGTGTTTGACTGAAGTTACGTTTGATCTTAAGGACGTTTCCTAGTGATTTCTGTTCTTCTATTCCAGATTACAACAGCAGCAATCAGAAGACGGCGTGCAAAAGACACGAGCTGTATGTTAGCTTCAGAGAGCTGGGCTGGCAGGTACTTTTACTTTTTAAGCATTTTTAATGAAGTCCCGTTGTTGAGTTCATTTGTTTTTAATGAGTCAGTCTTGAGTCATGCTGTTAATTAAGTTCAAAGACAGAATGCTTTATTGGGAAGAATTTCATGTTTAAACTCAGCAAGTAAATTTAAAAAAATCTGACGTAATCACTTTTAAACATATTTTACAGTTTCTCTGTAACAATGAAAACGACAGACAAAAATCTCTTTTGGCTATAATGATAAAATTGGATATGATAAAATTAGTAGTAAGGTAGTATCTTATTTATTCATTTCTATTTTGTTTTGTTAGAGGTATAAAATAAATAATTTCTAACAGTTTCCTGTCAATTATTTCTTTACTTATATCAGAATTTATTTTTGTCAGGGAATAAAATGGCAATGCCAAATGTTAGTGTCATAAACTACCACTGAATTATGTGTGTTGAATATGAAGCAACATTTAATACTTGTACAACTTTTTGTCAAAATGTTATTTTTCATGAATTTATGTAAATTGGTGGTGTCTGAACCAGTTAGTAGGTTTAGAAGGGAACTACTTCTCCACGTTGGGTCATACTCCTTTCGTCGAGTTATCATTGTGTCATGTGTGACAAAATAGCAAAACAAAGAAGAAATATTTAATATACTCATAATACTGAAGCTAAAACTGTGTGAATTGTCCTTTTTTCTGAAGCTGTGTGGTCACATTGTTTAATAAACTTGGTCCAGTTAATTGATTTCATTCTTTCCAAAGAAGCTAAAACATTTTTTTTTTTTTTTTAGGATTTTTCAATAAATTCATTCATTTCAAGACAACAAACAATCAAGTGCAACTGAATGTGAGAAAATGTAGGACATTGAAAAAGCTTCTGATAAGTCTTGACTTATTACATTTTGTACAACTACCACAGATAAGGCATCTTAAGTCACAAAGACGGAAATAAGTTGCTGCTGCTGCTGCTGCTGGTGTGGGAGGCATTTTAAACACTGCAGTGTTTAAAATGCTCTCACACTCTCACAATGTGATAAACCGCTGCTAACAAGGCAGATTAAACTAGCAGGAGAGTCAGATATACACAGCTGAGTGGGAGCAGACCCAAATGTCAGCCCCCAAGTGTGTGTGTGTGTGTGTGTGTGTGTGTGTGTGTGCTTTTTCAAACATGCCGATAGCTGTTGACACACCACTGACATCTAGAGGAATAACACAAGCAATTACTCACCTGAATGCGCACTCTTGCACATTATATCAGCAACTTAACATATGCTTGGTTAATCTCAGTCTTGTTTAAAAAAAAAAAAAAAAGATTCACATCGCCATAAGCCAGAAGGGAAAAGAGGGAGACGCAAGAAGAGAAACGACGAGGTGGAAAGCTGAAAACATGAAAACAAGTCGGAATGAGGTTAAAACATGCTGATAACTCATCAGGCGGAAACAGTGAAGCGCAGACAGGAAGGAAGAAAGGGGAGAAATATTGCTTCCTCGAGTAATACGGTAGATGCCGACAGGAATTTGTCCTCGGAGACGTTGTAAACTTCTAGAAGACTGCAGAAACTTTTACTTTTGCGTTTTTTTGAGGCTTCCTTCCGATCAAATAGCTTTAAAACAATCTTTAAGGATTCTTTATGAAATCGCTGCTCAGAGCTGGTAGAGACAGACGTGCCACATGCAAATTAAGTTCATATGTGTCTCTTCAGGACTGGATCATTGCCCCCGAGGGCTACGCCGCCAACTACTGTGATGGAGAATGTTCCTTCCCCCTGAATGGACACATGAATGCCACCAACCACGCCATCGTGCAAACGCTGGTAGGACTGCCTCACTCTGCTTGATGCATATGTACATCTGTGTATTTCAGATGAAATCCATGATTTGTTGTCATGTTGTCAGTAAAATTGAAAACAAGTGACTGATATGTTTAAATCTGGTCTCAGATTTGCAACTGGATTTAGGTCTGGACTTTGACTGGACCATTCTAACACACACAACTTCTGTGATCGAAAGCGTTTCAAGTTAATTTTTTTTTTAAGATTCTTGAAACTCTGAGCGCTTTAAGAAAAACATTCCCCGCAGCATGATGCTTCCCCCTCTATGTTTCAACTTTACAGAGAAACGGCATCTGTGCCTGAGTTGAATAGTGCACTGAATTCAAATGCATGTCAATTTCCAGATTTTAGTTCTGAAGGCATTTTGAAAATCGAAAATGGCAAAGAGAAAACTTGTTCTAAACATGAAGTTTGAAATTTATCAAAATTCACAGTCCAGTGGAAAAGTATTTGTCATTTACAGATTTTTTTTTTTTTAATCACACGTCAATGCTTCAGATCCTCAGACATACATTATAATATCACACGAAAGGAAAAAAATAATCATTTATTATTAGGTGAAAAGGTTCTCCAAACCCACCTGACCCAATGTGAGAAAGTAATTGCTTCATGACTTACTGACTGGTTGGGTCTTGATAGTGCAAACACCATCAAGCTTTTGTACTACCTGGCTATTAGCTTGGCTTTTGGCCCATTCTGCAGTTTTTTATGCAGCCATATTGGAGGGTTTTCAAGTATAAACAGCTGGTTTCAGGTCATACCACAGGCTTTCAGTCTTTGACTAGGCCCTTCTGAAACCATCCTTTCTGTCAACTACACCAATGTTGACTTTCTGCTATGATACATCTTGCAACACAACCCATGTGTATTAAAGCTTACGGTCTTTCACATCGTTTAGCAAATTAAATCATCATTTGCCAAATGGCTTGTAGATCCAATCAGGTGTCTTTGTCTGATATTAAAATTA